ATATATAATAATTGGGTCAGATTCGGATCAAATCTACCTATACCTTGATCCGATCTAAACTATTATTCAAATCCAAAGTTTAGATCTAAATCCAAATCTTGATTTCATACTCAAATTGGGACAAGAGATATATATGTATAATAATTGGGTCAGATTCGGATCAAATCTACCTATACCTTGATCCGATCTAAACTATTATTCAAATCCAAAGTTTAGATCTAAATCCAAATCTTGATTTCATACTCAAATTGGGACAAGAGTCCGAAGTTCGAGTTTTGGATCCAAACCGGGGAAATTCGCGTAAGATAAAAAAGAAAAAAAGCTAAAGCACTCATAGGCCTTCCTCCCTCTTGTCCTCCATGATCACGATTGGGGGATGTTGATAAGCAACCACCCGGAAGCAAAGAATTAAAAAAGTAGGTCACAATTGTCACCCGTTTAACAACAAGTAGGTGACTTTACACATTCAAGACGCATCACTGCCGCAAGGAATCTTTCAAGTTTTCTACTTAAAAAAAAACAGGAGAATTTTGGCGTATAATCTAAAAAGTAAAGCAATTGGACTTATAATTTAAAAAGAAAAAGCAAATAGAGGTTTAAGAGTGTGGAATATATCATTGCATTGGAGGAAGGGGAAAAGACAAATTGAATGAAAGACATGTTCAAGGAGAGAGGTAAGACAATGAATGAGCTGCAAATGAAACTTAGGAGTTTATGTTACAAGACAAACATTATTCAGGAGTTCATGCTACATGACAAACATTATTTTAGACGACCTTCAAAATGATAAGATATTTTAATCATTTTTTGTTGATCTAATCTAAGGAAAACTAATTTGTCATAGAAATTTAGAATAAACTTCCTAAATATTTGTTTGGAAGGGATTTCCTGTACATCTTTTCAAGAAACGTGGTTCTTGTTCTTCTTTTTTGTTCATTCCTTAAGGCCGAGACAAGCAGCTTTAGAAAGGAATCGTCAAAAATGATCTTAGGACTTTGTATAGTCAAGCCAATTTCACTTGGCCATGTCTGGTGGTGCGTGCATGGCCATGGACCTTACATGTTATATATTTTTTATTTGTCTTGATTAATATATTTTTACAAATAAAAAACACATTGTTAAGTATTAGTAATGTAGAACAATTTGGCGTATTTTATCATTTTACACTTAAATACTTGCATGTATCAAATTACAAAACTACACCTAGTTGTTCTACATTATTAATACTGAACAGTGTGTTCTTTATTTGTACTACGGAACAATTAGGGGCATTTTTATCATTTAGGTGAGAGCTTTTTGGGGTCAAATTATTGAAGTGCCTTTCATTGTTACCCATTTCAACTAATAGACCAAGGCAATTTGGGTATTTTTTAAAATATTTTAGAGGAGGTGTCTATGTAAAATGAAAAAAAAACATGTATACCTTCAAATATTAATAAGGATAATTTGACTCCTTTAATCATTATCATCATCATATATTTTTTCCAATTAATTTGGGTCGGCTACATCAATTGTGGTCCGTCATTCTAGTAGATTAAAGGTCGTACCCTCAATGAGGCCATAAGTTTCCATATCTTTCCAAATTACTTCCAACCACATCCTAACTGGTGTTGTACTTGGATGACACCACACATGTCTAGCCCACCTGTATATTATCTCTCATCTTATCATCTATCAACGCCACACTTAAATTCTCCTGATTGATTCATTTCGAATTATATCCCTTTTTGTCTTTATCACTCATCCATGTCAACATTCTCATCTCTGCTACACTCATTTTATGGATATATTGTTTTTTGTCTGCTCAACATTCAGTCTCATAGAGTAAAGATGGTCTCACAACTGTCTTATAGAACTTGCCATTTAGTTTCATTGGTATGCGACGATCACAGAAAATTCCAGTTGTATATCTCCACTTCGTCCACCCAGCTCTAATTCTGTATGGACATCTTCTTGAATCTCTAAATTTTTCTGAATTATTGATCCAAGATATCGAAAGTGCGGTCTTTTTTGTACTTCTTGGCCGTCAATATTAACTACTTCCTTGTTTTTACTCCTATTAATACTAAACTTACAATCCATATATTATGTCCTAGTCTGGCTAATTTTAAAGCCTTTGGATTCCAGAGCATCCCTCCAAAGTTTTAACTTTAATTTGACATCATTTTGGGTCTCATTGATCAAAACTATGTCATCTGCAAACAACATTACCTCATCATGTATGTGCCTATTTAAGTTATCCATAACTAAGATAAAGAGGCACAGACTCAATGCTGGCCCTTGATGTAAACCTATTGTCACTAAAAACTCACTCGTCTCTCCACTAGTTGTTCGTATACTAGTTAGCGCCCCATCGTACATGTGTCTCACCAAGTTGATGTAATGTATAGAAACTCCTTTCTTTTCCAACACTCGCCAAATCAAATATCGGGGTACTTTGTCATAAGCTTTCTCCAGATCGATAAATACCACATGGAGGTCTTTTTCATTCGTCCAACTTCTCAATCAGTTGTTTAAGTAGGAAAATAGCTTCTTGTTGACCTTCGTGGCATAAAACCAAATTGATTTTCAAATACACTAGTTTCATGCCTTAGTCTTTGCTCAATCACTCTCTCTAAGAGCTTCATTATATGGCTCATAAGCTTGATCTCTCGATAGTTCGTATAATTTTGTATATATCCTTTGTCCTTGTAAATAGGTACCACAATTCTTTTCTTTCATTCGTCTCTCATTTTTTTTGTTCTCAACACCTTGTTGAAGAGCTTCGTTAG